AAAAAATAAATATATATATATATATATATATATTGTAATATATAAATATTACAACAAACAATAGTTCTTCAGAAAATTTTCGCTAAGGAAACCCCGAATTCAGTAAGGAATTTCTGATTATCAACTAATGCGGTAGGTGGACATCCTGTATATATTATAAACTTTATACTGTAGTAAATTACAAGGACTGCCAAAAACAGGATTGTTTGTACATAAATTATAACATGCTTGAAAACCAATGATTATCAATATACGCCATAATTAATATGACTAAAATGGCTAAAAAACATTGAATAATTTAATACTCGACACACAGTTACCTCTCAATCTCACTCTATCGTGCTTTTAACTTTAAATTCACCTATTTCTCAGATTTGTCTGATTTATGATATTTGGGCCAGACTTATGTAACATGAGCGTTTTTATATTTTTAGGTCCCATTGTGGTAGAAGTAGATTCGTCTGATGACGAACCATTGATTGAGTCTGTAGGAAAAGCAAGAGTACGATTGTCAGATGAAACATCCACTACTTCCCCAAAGCCCAAAGATCAAAAGTAAGCAATACTGAATTGAATTTTTATAATAATGACCAAAAAGTAAAAGAAAATTAAGAGATTTGAGAGTTTTGATAAGTAAGCTTTCGTTATAAATATAAAGTGAATTTAAGCACAACTGTTTCTGGCAGTCAAATTAATTCCAGTAATATATCAAATTTCAATGCTAGTAATAGAGTGCAAAGAGAGAGCCGTTTGTTAACCACCAAGCAACCGAATACGGCAACTGTGACGGTAATAACGGCATCGACCGCAACGACAGCAACGACGGCGACGACGGCGACGACGGCGACGACGGCGACGACGGCAACGACGGCAACGACAGCAACAACAGCAACGACAGCAATGACGACAACCGCGGCAACAACAGCTACGACAGCAACGACCGCAACAACGACAATGACGACGATAACGACGACGATAACAACAATGACGATGACGACAACGACGACGACAACGTTAACAATGATGACGACGGCGACTGTTACAACTACGACGGCAACAACAATGGCAACGGCAGGGGCAGTTACTGTTGGGAAGGAGAGATTACGAGGCACTTCTGTATCCAGCAACGAATCTGTGGGCGAAGTAACGACAAGAAGGTCTGTACGGCAGAATACAGCTTCACCTCTAGCTACACCAGCAAGCAACACTAGAGGCGCATCTAAATCCTCAGACGATATTAATAGAAGAAAAACTCGTAGTGGTGCTGGTACGTAATCAGTTTAGAATTTTTAGAATAGTTCTAAGGATACACTGCTCGCTAGTTTTGCAATTGCTAACTTATTGTTGATAAATCTGTTATCCATTTCTAATATTATTCTTAATATATATAAGATTTGTTTCGTACACTTGAATGTTTGCGTTATTATATTTTATTTACATCACTTTTACCTTTTCTTTCTCTCCAAATTTTCAGCATATTAAATATAATGAAATTTGGCATTATAATTATTAATGAGACCAATTATAGACGTTTTTTAGCATTATATTTTTTTTTTTATACTATTTTAATTTCTATACTATTTCTATACTATTTGAATACACTTCGTACAGCGGGAAAACATTGTTTTAGTAACGGCGGAGACAGCAGAGCAAGCGAAACGGAGGCGAATATCCCGAGAAAACAAATGACCTTCGGGAAGTGACCTTGACAGTGATTAGCTACCGTCGCTCGTCAAGGCCTATCTGTCTGATTGTAAATCCAACATAAACGGGTATTTGATCGCCCTGTGGCTGGATCCCACCTGGTGAAACTGTATGCGTCACTTAGCGCACAACGTTGCTGTATATGTATTGGGAGTATTGTATTAAAAAAAGAAGTGCTGGACGGTATAAAATCTCGCTGTAAAACATTCGTTGATCGATATTAAGTTAATCATGCGTGAAAGGTAATATCTTCCTTTCTTTCTTCATTCTTCATATCCTGTTTTTTTTCTTTGTCTCTCGTTTCTTTCTTCGTTCTTTCGTTTCTGTTTCTTCTTTCTAGAAGATAGATCGTAAGAATTATATTGTTACAAGTTTAAAGGGCGTATTGTTTGAAAAGATTTTTGTACATTTAGCAAATTATTCATTATTGATTGTTATATCCTTAAATGTTTAAGAATAACGCGTACGAAGATCGCACTAGAAGCGATTTGCTTTAGTCATCTTTTCACCGTCTAGCTTTCTCATTTATGCTGTACTCCTATAAACAGCAAAGTTTAGTTACTCAGATATGACTTGCTCAATGCATTACTCTATAATCTAAGTAACTGAACTAACCCAAAACTGCCGAGATATAATTGTATGTAACTTTCTTTTACCAGTCAAATGTTTCTATTCTATCCACGAGTACTAAATTTCATTCTTTGATGTGCAATTTTCTAATATTATTAGATATAAAAGGGAAGAGACACTAGCTTTATATAGAGATTTAAGAAAAATTAAGGAAATCTAAATTATATTTATGTTTCAAGAGAATCATCTTCTCATATAATTCCTTTCGTTCATTGTATCTCAGTACAAAATAACAGGTAAAAGAAAATCCAAATTTTTAAGACATTAAAAACGCGAATCCGATTGTACTGCCGTAAGTAAAAATACATATTTACTATGAACAAATTTATTAACTGATGGAGCTTAAATTGCTACTCTGACGACTTTGCTGATAGACTTTGTTTAGACAATGTCTCTGTTTGTCCAATTGTATACATATTTATTATTGTGTG